CCTCTCCCACTGCTTGTATTCCCTCTCTCGCTGTGTCTCTCTCTGTCAAATAAATAAATAAAATCTTTAAAAAAAATAATAAATATTTAGATAAAAAAGAAAGAAAAGTCATCTTCTTCAGACAGTTCAGGGTGAGACTGTCCATAATCTTAACTACGCCTTTCCTCCCAAATCACATGTATTTGTGTTAGAACTAAATATATCATCCTCTTGGCAGCTCCCTTGCTTTCAACCCATTCTGAGTTTAGAATTTTCTGCATGACTGAGTTCACCTCCAAACTATGAAAAATAAAAATTTCCTTACTATTTAATAGATGTGTATGATATGGTATCACTCTGATGATATATGTCTTTGTAATGGGCCCTTGACTCATTCAGGGTCACGCTAGCAATGGACTTCCTTAAATGTGATTACTGAAAGCACAGCAATTCATACCATAATTTTCATTTTAAGAAATAGAGAGAGGAAAATGGCCACTTAAAGCTCGAGCCGTGCTGGTCAGCCCTGCTCCTCCACTTGGAGGTGCAATATGGCTCACCTGTTTCTATCAAGAAAGAGCCCTTTATCACACCAGAGCAAGTAAGCAAATACCAGAAAATATTATTTTCCTACATTTTGAAAGATCGACCCATCTACGGCTCTGCAGAGAGAATCTAAGACCTCATTTTCAGGGGTTAAAAAGAGAGAGAGATGTAGACCTAAGGGGAGAATGAGATCCCCCAAAAAAGACCTCCACTAATCCGAAGATTCCAAGTATACTTGTATAGTGGTTTAAGAGTTTTTAGCCCAGTGTAGCCGTCTTTTTAATTTACATTTGTTAAAATGCAACTTGCTAAGATTGGTTTAAGATTTTCATAGAAATGTACCTGACATAAAGGACAAGTCCTGCATTTCTGGATCAACTGAAAAAAATGAAAAGCTAGCTCCTAAAGCTACATCATGTGCCCTGAGCCCTCGGTAAATGTTAATTGATTAAATACTAGTCAGAGATAACAAGGTGGGCAGCAGAGACAGCAGAACCATTTCCGACACCGGGAGAACAGAGCTTGAGCACTGCCCTCGGGTCAGGCCGCACGGGTCAGGGCGATTCGCCCCTGAGCCCCACTGCAGAGAGTGCCCTGGGGGTTCCGGGGGAAAGGGGCGTAGCGGCAAACAGCCCCGTGGCCCGAGGCGCGGTCGGGAATCTCGCCGGGTCACCGTGGGTAGACTCCGTGGCCACAAAAGCTCTGCGGACTTGGGCTGAGAGCCGCCGGGAACTTCCCGCTGCGGTCCGGCTCTGGCAGCCCTACAGGTGCTCCGTCCCGGGTGTTCCACCGCGTGTGCCCGGCGCCGCCGCTCCAGCTGACTCAGCTGCGCCTACACGCGCGCGCAGCCTTGCGAGGGAAACAGCGGCGCCGGCCCGTGTACCCAGCCAGCGCGCGCACGCGGGGAGGCACCGCCCCGCCTGTCCTCTGGCTCCCGGTGATTGGCGATTGGACGACGGGGGAGCAGGGCAAGGGACATTATTGGCTGCAATCCACAATCACTCAACGAGCCAGGGAGGGGAGGGGCCACTTCAGGGAGGGACACGACTGCGAGGCTTTTTCAAGGCCGTCAGGCGCCATCTTTAGCTTATTTTGTTTTGTTTGCTCGGGTTTGTTCTTTGTTGCTTACAAAGCTGCGTGTACACGATTATAAATTCAGTGCCACAAATAGGTCTCATACATTTGGTGGTGGAAGGCTTATAATTTCTGTCGGCCTTGGTTACAGGTCTTTCAGATACCACTAGCAAAATGGCAGTTCCCCTTAGTTCAAAGTTTACATCTCTAGGAGCCCCGCGATTCCCAAAGTCAACCGAGTTTAGCTGTGCTTTGGTAGGAAGACAAAGCCAACGATATGTTCGTGGGACTCAAAGCAAGAACACTGGACATGAGCCTAGGTTCCTAGGAAAAATCAAATAGCTTAGCAAGTCAGAGGCATGGGTTGTGTACCTCTCTGGGACGAGCTCTCTCTCCCGAGAAGCTGAAGAGGGATGACCTGCAGTGATGTGGAAAAGAATTAGAACAAAACTCCATTAAAAATTCCCAGCGCTGCCGCCATCACAAAGTCATCGGAATCTGACTAGATTTCAAAGATATGCATGCAGGTCTAAACTTGTGGAATGATCCACATTTGAGACAGTATTTATTAAGTACTGATCTGACTTGCACTGTCAGGAAATAAAAATACACCCAGTTCAGGTAAGAAGCCCAGAGAGCCCACAGAGGGCCACTTTCATTATAATGAATTTCAAGACCTGGACAAATAATTTTAAAGCTGTTGTTGAAGCGTCCTAAATACTACTTGAAACTGAGTAGGGCGCTGGCTGAGGAATGGAAATGTAGTACCATCATCCTACAGAGGCTTTGTTGTAATTAAATTTGAAGTCTACAGTAGATCCTTTTTTATATCCTGGTTGCTACTTCACTGGTGACATTCCAGTTTCTCCCTCATCACCCCATACACTTCCTATGCTTTCACTCCAATCTGTGAAAACAGATAAGAATGTATTTTCCATATGACTCCTAATAGGAGACAGTGGTTCAGTAACAGAATGAAGTGAGACTATGGCTCACATAACAGGAGGCTTTGCTCTGAGCCTGATTTGTCCTCTGATTCTTTTACCCTTGTCTCTTGACTCTTAGACCTGGGGAGAAGGCTACTCAATCCAAAAATGCAACACGATAACCACAATGCATTTCTTAACCCCCTCCTATGTATTATTTGCCTTTGCCTCCTCTTCGCCCCTCCCCCATCACAACCACCATGAACGGTTTTTGAGAATTGGACTTGACTGGATTATTTTCCTGACACTTTGCCAGCTGTGGAGCTTTTCGAACAAATCCCAACCTATAAACGACCATTTTGTCAAAAAGCCAAAAGAGAACTTGCCTTCTGAACACACCAACCAAACCACACATGAAGGCCAAAATATACACAGCTGTACATTTAAGAACGTGAGACAATAAAAAGCAAAACCACTTAAGGCAAAACAGTCACTAAAGAAGGCTTTGAACCACAGATTCAATAAATTGCCTACTCTCATTTGCCACATGGACTATATACTCCCTGGCAATTATTTAATTATTCACTAATCTGATACTTTTTTTTAAAAGAGTAGAAAAATACAGTAAATGCACATAAAATGAAAAGTGCCTAAGTATGCTAAGCATAGGATTTCTTCTAAGCTCTAATTTGCACACGAAATCCTGTTTGGATCACATTTGGGAACAGAACAGAAAAAAAAAATCACATCCTAATAAGGGCTACTTTGCACACATAAAATCAAAGGTAATCTCTTTTGAAAACAAAATCTGATATGGCACATATACACATACTGTACATATACACAAAGCACAAAACCCCAAGATAAATCTTTATGAAATCATTTGCTTCAAAACACACACACAGACACACACACACAATGTCTTCATGAAAATGTAAGACACATTTGTAAGAAGGGCTTTGCCCCCCTCCCCAGGGAGATGAGTGTCTCAATTATAATATCCAAACATTTTTAACCTATTGGCCTTGGACAATTGCCACATTAAAGCCACTTGGTTTTGGTTCTGGGGGAGGGTGTGTAAAACGCACGCAAACAGCTTTGTGAGGGAGTCTCAATTCTCCGCTTCTTTCGACGTTGCCCTTGACGTTGCTCGTGGCAGAAATTTACATTATCCCTTCACCCCGCCTTAAAAAAAAAAAAAAAAAACTATACTCCCCAAGCGGCTAAATTTTTTAAATACCTCGACCATAAAAATTTACCAGTTCTTAAAATGTGATAACAAAAAGAAAAAAAAATCTCAATAAATTTGGCTGGAAATAGTTGTACACGGCCATCCGGCTTCTCAACTTCTTGGTATATTTAAAACCTTGACCAGGAAAAAAGAAAGAGGAAGAGAGACAGAAAAAGAAATGGGGGAAAGCGCAAATTTCCCTTAGCAACAGTTTCCTCACCCCAGCACTGCCACAGATCTCTATTTTTAAAAATTTTGAAAACACACACAAGATTAAGGAGGGAAAAAAAATGGAAAAAGGATACCCGAAGGTCGTATGGCTCTTTGTATTCGTGTGTGTGCAAAAAGGAGGACTCGCGGCGCCCGAGCCGGCAAGCCCCGCCCCTCCCCGGACGCCTTCCCGGATTGGCCGCCGGCGGCCGCGGGGCGCCCCTCCCGCAAGCACACGCGCCGCGCCCGAGGCCGGGTCCCCAGGGGGCCCCTGAGGGCCGCCCGACCCCCGACCCCCTCCCAGCTGGACCGTGGCGGTCGGCTCGCATCTCTCCCCTTCCCCACCTCTCTCGCTTTCCTTTCACTTTCTCACCCTCCTCACCCTTTCCCGTCGTCCTTTCTCAGTCAAACGAGGCCCTCGGCATCGATTACCAGTAACAGTTGAGTGAGCGAGCTCCTTCTGACAATTTGCTAAACTTGGTTAGCTAGCTAGTCAGTAAAATTCCAGACTGGAATTAGGCATCAAGGACTTGGTGCGTCGGCCTGAGCTCATGATTTCCAGGTAGAACGTATCTGGGTCGTGTCTGTTGCTTGACACTCCCACCTTTACATGAACGCACATTTCAGGCAAGGTGGAGGACAAAATAGACTTTCGGCGTTGCTTTTGCTCAGCCTGAGCCTCCAGTTTTTCTCTACCTGGCTTTAAAATAACATTCCCAGGAACCTAAAATGGCTCCCCTTTCCCTCCTGTGTGAGGACCTGATGGCCTGTACTTGAATGTTAAACCACCCATAATCTGGTCCCACACCCTGGTTTGTTCTTGGTTCCCACTGCCCTCACCTTTTAAGCCCCGAATTATTCCTTTGCTCAAGTGCTCCTGTCTGCTTGGAATAATGCCTGTTTCGTCTTCTCTGACTAGTCAGTTTTTACCCATTCTTCAGCTTTATCAGTCAGCACAGACCATTTCCTTCTTTCCTATCAGCATGAACTTCAGGCTTTCTCGGGTTAGCGGGTTAGCGGCACTTAACTCTAACTTGATTGTTTCACATACTTTAGTGATTTCACACTAGTAAGCTGTTTGAGATCAGAGATCATATCTTAAACTTCTTTTTCCATTCAGGAACTGGTTGTTGTTGTTTAATTCTTACTTCAGCAGCTGGCATTATTGTAGACATTTGGTAAGCGCTGGGAAAAAATCATTTATAATTAAATGAGTGAATTTTTTTCTAGCTAAGACACAAATTTTGAAACTCAGATCCCACAACAAGAATGTGCCTTCTATAGTAACGGTTCATGAGCACTTACTGTGCAAGAGTTGTTCTGAACACTTCACAAATATTAATTTATTTAATCTCCTCAGTAGTGGGGAGGTACTATGTTTTTCCCCATTTTATAATGTATTTTTCTCTCTCTCTTTATTTTAAGTAGGCTCCACCCCCAACATGGGGCTTGAACTCATGACCCTGAGTTTATTTTATTTTATTTTTTTTAAAGATTTTATTTATTTGACAGAAAGAGAGAGAGATAGCAAGGGCAGGAACACAAGCAGGGGGAGAGGGAGAGGGAGAAGCAGGCTTCCCACTGAGCAGGGAGCCCGATGTGGGGCTGGATCCCAGGACCCCAGGATCATGACCTGAGCCGAAGGCAGATGCTTAACAACTGAGCCACCCAGGTGCCCCATAACCCTGATTTAAAAGTTGCATGCTTTACACACTGAGCCAGCCAGGCACACCTATCCCCATTTTATATTTGAGACTCAAGTGCAGAGAGGTATATAGATCTTTCTCAACTTACAATGTAGTTACTTCCTGATGAACCTATCTTAAGTTGAAAATATTAAGTTGGAAGTGATTTTACTACACCTCACCTCCTGAACCTCATACCGTAAAAGTGCCTGGAACGCTTACATTAGCCTACAGTTGGAGAATATCATCTAACACAAGCTTATTTTATAATAAGGAGTTTACTATCTCATGTAATTTATTGAATACTATACCAAAAGTAGAAAACACAACAGTTGTTAAGTGTATTGGTTGTTTATCCTTGTGATAGCTTGGCTGCCTGGGAGCTGCGGCTCACTGCCTCTGCCCAGCATCATGAGAGAGTATCCTATGGCATATCACTAGCCCGAGACAAGAGCCAAATTCAGAATTCCAAGTATGGGTTCTACTAAATGTGTATCACTTTTACACCATTGTAAAGTCAAAAAATCCTAAGTCAGGGACCATCTGTAATAAGTGACTAAGGTTATACAGGTAGTAAGAGGTAGACCTTGGATTCGAACCCAGAAAATCCAGTTCCATAGCCCAAGTTCTTAATCATTATGCCTCACTGGCTCCACAGCATAGCTTTTTTTGTTTTTTAAAGATTTTGGTTTTGGGGCGCCTGGGTGGCTCAGTCGTTAGGCGTCTGCCTTCAGCTCAGGTCATAATTCCAGGGTGCTGGGATCGAGGCCCTCATCTGACTCCCTGCTCCGCGGGAAGCCTGCTTCTCCCTCTCCCACTCCCCACCCCTGGCTTGCGTTCCCTCTCTCGCTGTCTCTCTCTCTCTCTCTCTCTGTCAAAATAAATAAAATCTTTTTTTTTATTTTTACGTTTTTTTTTAAAGATTTTATTTATTTATTTGAGAGAGAGAGAATGAGAAATAGAGAGCACGAGAGGGAAGAGGGTCAGAGGGAGAAGCAGACTCCCTGCTGAGCAGGGAGCCCGATGTGGGACTCGATCCCGGGACTCCAGGATCATGACCTGAGCCGAAGGCAGTCGCTTAACCAACTGAGCCACCCAGGCGCCCCAAAATAAATAAAATCTTAAAAAAAAAAAAAAGATTTTGGTTTTTTTTTTGAGTAATCTCTACACCCAACATGGGGATCAAAGTCACATGCTCCTCTGACTGAGCCAATATTATTTAGTTATTTATTTATTTAAAGATTTTATTTATTTGAGAGAGAGAATGAGTGGGAAAGAGAAGGGGAGAGAATCTGAAGCAGACTCCACACTGAGCACAGAGCCCAATGTGGGGCTCAATCCCATGACAGTGAGATTATGACCTGAGCTGAAACCAAGAGTCAGATGCTTAACCCACTGTGCAACCCAGGCGCTCCAGCAGTGTTTATATTCTTAAGGGTTATAGATTTTCTGTTTCTTTTCCCATATTTTCCATTAAAAAAATTTTTTTAAATAATACAAGCCAGCCAGGAAATCATAGGGAAAAAATTATATATATATATATTTAAGAACTCACAACCCTGAGATCAAGACCTGAGCTGAGATCAAGAGTCAGACGCCATGAGGCGCCATAGTTCAGTCAGTTAAGCGTCTGACTTCGGCTCAGGTCATGGTCTCAGGGTTTTGGGATCAAGCTCCATGTTGGGCTCTATGCTCAGGGGAGAGTCGGCTTCTCACCATCTCCCTCTGCCCCTCCCCCCGCTCGTGTTCTCTCTCTCTCAAATAAATAAAATCTTAAAAAAAAGAATAAGAGTAGGACCCTTAACTGGGCGCCCCTACTATAACATCTTATATCCACGAACGTACAGGTGGTCATTTTCAAAATGTTAGGATGAAGGAAAAATAGAATTGTTAATGACAATTACTATAATCAACATTTATTGAGGGTTTATTTGGTGCCAGGCACTCTTTCATTTAATCAGTTCTATGAGATAAGTACTATTATACTGTCTCTTTTACTGATGAGAAAACAGACTCAGAGAGGGCAGGTGACTTACCTCAGGATCACTGAGCTCACTAAATTGTGGAGTCAGAACTTGAATCCAGGCCTCCTGACTTCAGAACCTGTGCCCTTGAGCAATCATTAGTCTCTGCCTAAATTGAAATCTACTCTGCCTTTCTGCGTTAATTCTCTTTTCGTCTCTTGTTTTGAGTCCATGAAAGATTAGCTGTCTTCCCTCTGAGGATCAATAGAATGTTCATACCCACCCCCTGCCCCCACCAATGTCTCCTGGGATATATTTTATTTTATTTTTTTTATTTTAGAAAGAGATAGAGTGTGAGGGCGGGAGGGAGAGGCAGAGGGAGAGGGAGAGAGAGAATCCTAAGCAGGCCCCATGCCCAGCGGAACCCAACCCAGGGCTCGATCTCTCGACCCTGAGATCATGACCTGAGCCAAAATCAAGAGTTGGCCGCTTAACCAACTGAGCCACCCAGACACCCCTCCTGGGACACGTTTTAAATTATGAGTCCATTTCTACAAAGGCCAGAATTAAGTTGGAAAAGCCATTTCATTTTAAGTTTCTGTTTTTCCCCCTATGGTCATAGAGGAATCTTTGGTAGAAAGTTGGGGTAAAGCATTTTTGTGCTATTAGGTAATGAGAATAGAAAGAAAAATGCACCTTTTCACCTAAAAAATTATAATTTTGAACTCCAAAACATTGGAGATTTCAAATGTTAAGCTTTACAGATGACTTGTCGATTGAGGAAAAGCTGCTCATTTGGCTTTGAATCAAGCAGATCTCTCTATTTTAAGCTATTTCTATTTAGTGAGACCCCATGGGAGCCTCCCCATACAGTGAAATCTAACTTCCCCCAGAGTGAGGCCGGGAAGCTGCTTCCGACAGTCATTCATTAACACACCCGTGAGCATTTTAGAACCGTAGTGGAAGGAAATCCCAGAGTCAGTTGGGAGTATGTCCTCAGAGGCACTGGAGAGGGAAGTGTCTGAGAGAGTTGAGGTTTGAAGAGATGAGAGAGGTTACAGAAAGGTCGAAGACAATGCAAAGGGAAAGAGAAGGAAGATAGGCAGGTAGCAGAGAACAGCACTCAAGGAACAGCAAGTAAAGGAGTTCATACTGTAGCAGGAGTGAAGGCAGATTAGATGTTATTTCATTTTTTTTTAAAAGATTTTATTTATTTATTTGAGAGAGTGAGTTGAGGGAGGGAGAGAGCAAGAGCAAGGGGAGGAGCAGAGGGAGAGGGAGAAGCAGGCTCCATCGCCCGAGCAGCAAGCAGGGAGCCCAACTTGGGCTGGATCCCAGGACTCTGGAATCATGACCTGAGCTGAAGGCAGCTGCTCAAGCCACTGAGCCACTCAGGCGCCCCAGGGCAGATTAGATTTTAAAGGAAAAAATTTCTGAATCAGACTGATTATTAAATGCAAAGGAAATTGTATAAACAGCTGAGAAGTCTTTCTTAAAGGCCAGCAAAAAGCAGTAAGTATAGAAAAAGTTACAATGTAAAAAAAATTAAATATAGATAGATGTGAAAATGTAGGAGAATAAGAAAGAAGAGGAGGAGGAGGAGAAAGATAAATGCCAGCTAATGTATGTAGAGGAATGACAGAAATTGAAACACCAGCGTTTGGCAACCACCAATGCAAAGATCGTTTCAGGAAGGATAATCAATGGTTGCTAAATCCACTGGGTGCAAGATTGTAGGAGAACAGGATATTCAAATGATCTCAAATGATCACTCTACTAATTATTAGTTTAGTAATTAATTACAAAGGGCAAACATGCCTTTACAGTAGAGAAATCTGGCAGACAAACTTCACATCACCAGTAATGTAACAAACTGACATATGCCTCCTGGTGTGGTACAGTGGGAAATACACAATACCACCTAGGTAATATTCTTGCTAAGAATGTTTAACCTGAATCTAATCAGGAGGAAACAATCAGACAATCTGGGCTGCACATGACAGATGATGGCCTGGACTCTTCAAAATATAAATGTCATAAAAGACACACACAAATATGGGAGCCTGTTCTAAACTAAACTAAAAAGATACGACAATTAAATGTGATGTGTGAGGGGCGCCTGGGTGGCGCAGTTGGTTGGGTGGCTGCCTTCGGCTTGGGTCGTGATCCTGGGGTCCTGGGATCGAGCCCCGCGTCCGGCTCCCTGCTCAGCAGAGAGCCTGCTTCTCCCTCTCCCTCTGCCTGCCACTCTGCCTGCTTGTGCTCTCTCTCTGTCTCTCTGTCGAATAAATAAATAAAATCTTAAAAAAAAAATGTGATGTGTGAGCCTTGATTGACTTCTGGATCAGGAAAAGAGAAAACTATTATGGGCACTATGTGGACAAATGAGGAATCTGAATATGAACAAGATACCAAGATAATATGATTGTATCAATGTTAAATCTCTTGGTGTGGTATTGTGATTTCACAGGAGAATATCTTAGTTCTTGGGAGACACACTTAGGGGTAAAATGTCATGATCTCTTAACTTTCAAATGATTCGGTAAAATACATATTAACAAATAAATATATACATATAGAGATAACCACATGTGGCAAAATGATATCAATTAGTGAACCTATATGAAGGGTATATGGGTATTTGTTGTACTATTCTTTCAACTTCTCTGGTCTTGAAATATTTCAAAATTTGAAAAATAATAAAAATAGTTCATGTTTTTGCTTTAGATATTTAGATTCAGCCCTTACTTGAGCCAAGGAAATAGTGCCGTGGTCTCTGGCATTCCCTGATTTATTTTAGACTTTGTTATATAATGCTTCAGAAAATTCAAAAGAGCATGTTAATGAATACCACCTAGAAAGTCAAAGAATGTTTTTAAACAGGTGGAAGAAGAACAAGTGGCAACAATTCTAGGTTGTGAGAAAAGCCCAAACCCAAAGAAAAGTGGCTTTTGTTTTTACGATGCTGGGGTTGGTGATACACGAACCTCCCTTTCACCATCGATTAGTTCTCCCCTTGTGAAGAGCAACTCACTCACGCACCTGACATCCAGGGACCAGACTTGAGTATCAGCGAAGCCTCTGCCCATTGATCTAACAGAAAACAGAACAAAACAACACATGCTAAGAGAGATACCCTGCAGAGCTACCCTGGGGAGCTCAATTCTTCAGGGCCTGACCATATTTTGTGTGAGACTAATGCTAGCATTTGAAGGGAAAGACAGCAGGACTGCAGAATCTGGGCAAGGTGGGAATGGGCAAGATTGCTCCTTAAACCTGCTTTTTATGGGGCTCCTGGCTGGTTCAGTCAGTAGAGCCTGCAACTCTTGATCTAGGGGTTGTGAGTTCAAGCCCCATGTTGGGTGTAGAGATTACTTAAAAATAAAATAAAAACTGCTTTTTATGACACCTAGTTGTCTTCATTTTTATAAGCAGGGGTGGCATAACATTTTTAAAAACTTCTCAATTTCGTCTTAATTTAAAAAATTAGGGGCGCCTGGGTGGCTCAGTCGGTTAAGCATCTGACTCTTGGTTTTGGCTGAGGTCATGATGAGATGGAGCCCCCGTCTCGGGCTCTGAGTCGGTTCCGTGCTCAGTGAGGAGTCTCCTTGAGATTCTCTCTCTCCCTCTCCTGCCCCTCCCCCTCCGCTCTCTCTCTCTCAAGTGAATAAAATCATTTTTTTAAATTTTATTCATTTATTTGACAGAGAAAGACACAGCAAGAGAGGGAACACAAGCAGGGGGAGTGGGAGAGGGAGAAGCAGGCTTCCCACAGAGCAAGGAGCCCGACGTGGGGCTTGATCCCAGGACCCTGGGATCATGACCTGAGCCGAAGGCAGACGCTTAACGACTGAGCCACCCAGGCGCCCCTAAACATATATAAATTTTTAAAAATGATTTTATTTAGGGGTGCGTGAGTGGCTCAGTCGTTAAGCGTCTGCCTTCTGCTCAGGTCATGATCCCAGAGTTCTGGGATGGAGCCCCACATTGGGTTCCCTGTGCAGCTGGAAGCCTGCTTCTCCCCCTCCACTCCCCCTGCTTGTGTTCCCTTTCTCACTGTGTCTCTGTCAAATAAATAAAATCTTTAAAAAAAAATTAATATATGTTTCAAAGTATGCTTAAGAGCAGCAAAAAAAAAAAAAAAAAAGAGCAGGGACACCTGGGTGGCTCAGTCAGTTAAGCATCTGGGCATCTGCCTTCGGCTCAAGTCATGATCTCAGGGTCCTGGGATCAAGTCCCATATCAGGAGCCTGCTTCTCCCTCTCCCTGCCTCTCGTCCTGCTTGTGCTCTCTCTCTCTTTGACAAATACATAAATAAAATCTTTAAAAACAAACAAAAAGGCAGCAAAGAGCATCTTGAAATTCAACAATTCCCGGGAGTCACAGTTCCAAGAAGGGTAGAAAGAATCACTGGTGTATTCACACATAGTGAAGTCCATTCATTCATTTACTCATTAAATACATGTATTATATTATCTCTACTGAGTAGCCTGCACTGTGCTAGACATATAGGAACAAACAAATGTATAGCATAGTAAGTGTTTGACTAAAAAGGAAGATAGATCACAAAATAACCAGAGACCCTAACAGAGACGCTCTCCAATGGGCCACGTGCCATCGACTGTTTAAATGAGTTGGGGAACACTGCTACCCCTACCCACGGACCACATTCAGGCTCTATTGACTCCAGGCTGAGCCACCTTTCTGCACATTTTGCTTCTTTGGGGGCTACTATGGGACTGTGCTTCATCTGTTGTTTTGGTTTAAAATGTTCCACTGCTTTCTTTCTAGAGATTAGGCTGGGGGAGCAGCCTCAGGACTCAGGAGACACAGGGTGATTATGAGCCCTCCCACAGAACCCTGGTACTCACTGGAGTGAGTACACCAGACACCACCACCCATCACCGCACATCACCACTGGAGATGAGCTACCATGCAAGAGCCTAGGTATTGTGTGAAACTGTATGCATGGGGAAGCTTCGAACATATGACTGTCCTTGGGACAACGGTGGCATTGAGGCTAAGCTGGGAAAAGAGCTGCAGTAGTTGCAAAAATATCCCCTTGACTTTGGTCCCTTCTGGTTTGCACACATTCCTCCTTGGAACTGCTTATTTCCTTCCCACTGGGAGCACCCGCTATTCCTGTCTTTCTGGGATTTTGTGGCCTTCCTCTCTCCACTTGAACAGCCTTGGCCCTGACCTGTGGGCATTACAGAAAGAAATGGGATGAGTTATGCATGTGTGATGGGCGTGGCCGGGGATACGGAGCCGAGAGGGGAGAGAGGGTCTCTTCACGAACCTAAAAGTAAAAAGGTAAAAGGTACTGAATCTGTGACCCAGCTCCCCTTGTGAGACAGAGTTCTATTTTCCTGTCCTTGGCCTGGCTGAGGGCTCAAACCTTCTTCCCAACCTCGCACAAGCAGGGGACACATGGAGAGATTCTTGTGGAACGTAAGTGACTATGACAGTACAGGGGCAACACACAGAGGGGCGCGTGTTCGTTATGTATGGCTGGAGAAATTATCTGTCTCCAGGGGGACATGTTTCATTGTGCATTAGCTTCTAGCCGCTCCCTTCCTCCCCGTTCCTCTGCCCACTCTCTTGATCACTGTCCTTTGGGGTCTCCTTTCCCCCCCGCCCCTCCTTCCCTTCCCACAGCGCCACTCTGCCCATCACTGTCTCCTGCCATCCTTCCTACCATGTCCCCGGCTCCCTCTCTACTTTGCTCACTCTCACTCTTGCTGCCCAGGACTTGCTTTCCTGCTTCTCTCATTTGTCTCTGGTTCTCTCTAGCTCCCATTCTCTCATTCCGTCTGTGTTTCCCTCTGCAGTACCAGCGCTTTGGGTACCCCGCAGCTAGTGATAACCTTTTCTCGTTACATTAAAGTCCACCGCAGCACTTGGTTTATTGATTGATTGGTTTTTATTTAAATTCTGGGGGAGGCAAGTAAAGAGAATTTTTTACAAAGTGAGAGAGCAGGGAGAAAACATGGAATCGAGCAGAGGGAGAACAGAGAGAAGGGGCAGGCAGCCTGAACAGATGGGGTGGGGGCCGGAGAGGAGGCATCAGAAGAGGTGGAACCCATGGTGTCTTATTTCCCTTCAAATAAACTAGGGTGGATAGTCATGGTTGACGACAGCGGAGTCTGGATTACAAAGGGTTAAGTACCAAGTTAGGCTTGGCACCTCACTCAGAGGCAAAAGCTTCAGGGAGAAATGAGTTGGGTTAAATAAACTCAAGAAGCTGACGTGGGTAGAATTTCTTCTGCCTGACCCACTAACAACTGCGAACAGGACATTTTAGAAATGGTTTTTATTGAAATGCTTCAGTGGGGCATAGGCCCTGGAAGCAAGAACTTGGCTCAGAGGCCAGGCCTGGGGAATGCTGCAGGAAAGTGGACGGTTGGTGGACTGGAGGGAGGGGTTGGGGAAGGAGGGCCGGCCGGGGTCAGGCAGCTGCTAGTCAGGGCAGTTCTGATGCTGTGTGTGCTCTCTCCCCTTGCCTCCTGTAATTAAAGCTTTCCTGATATGATTCTGGCTTCCTGAAGGGAAATGAGGATTTTGAAAACAAACAAGAAACAAAAAACAGCAGAGTTGCTTGGTTGCAATATATGCATATTTTAATCATAAAGCACTTAATCATGTCCTGAGGTCACTGCTGCTGGTCAGTTTCAAAGTACCTCATCCCCTGCTATAGCCCTGGCAGGAGGGGCTCTTCTAGAGAAACACAAATAACCATATAAAAAACCCTAACTGTACTCACCAGATTAGATATGCTCCTGTAACTCCTTCACTGACCCAATCCTCCTCCTCACCGCCTGACAAGGGAACCGCTCCCCCTTGTTTCTCTCCACATTTTTTTTTTTTTTACCTTACTCCCTTTTCATCCCACATTTGCTCCTCTCCCCTAACAGACCACATGGAATCCATGGACCAGCATAAATCAGTTGTTTTATTTTCCCTCAAAGGATGTAACCTTCCACTCCCCAAATGGCTTTGACAGTTTTCTCATTTGCGAGCTGAGGAGGGTATCAAGAGACATTGACCTTCCGGTTTTGCCTAAAGAGGGAACACTCAGTAACTATTATGCTCAGGTCCCTGATTTCCTTTCATTGTGCCTTTCCTCCCCCTCCCCCCATGTCCTTGCCTACCTTTTCCCTTTCCCTCCTGAACATTCTACCCACCCATCCCCACAGCCCTCTCTTGCCTGGTGTAGAGACGCTATAAGGCTCGTCTGCCTTCTACCCCACAGCATTCCCTGCTAGCAAGAGAAAGCCCAAGGCCTCGAGGAGTGTCTGCTCTCTCTTTAATCAGATTAGTCCCATTACCTACCCTGAGGAGTCAGATTTTGGTGTCACCGAGCTATCTGTAGAAGGAGAAGAAATTGTCAGACATCACTTGAAGAGCCCTGTCCCGTGGACGCCTGGGAACTGCCGAGAGAAATTAATCTTCCAGCTATTTAAGGCAATTTCTTTTCCATCATCCTTTGTCAAGAGGACTGCACTGGGAAATGAATCTGATGGGAGTCCCTGAACTGGTCCACTCCACTCGACAGAATCTCTCCAGTGCTGTGTGGCATCCATCATCCCTACGCAGCGGAGACATACAACATCCCTGCAAAGCCAGCTCCCCACCAGCACTCAGCAGCAAGAAGCCACAACTGCCCACAACTGGGCCTAGACACTTGCAGTTTTCCTCTACCTCTGCTCTACCTTCTCTCCAGAAAACCTACCACACATCGATCTCTTCCATTCTTTCTTTTATCCAAGATCCAGGAAGGAAGAGAAACGGGCATATGTAGAACAGAACATGGGACTGACGGTTGTGCATTTTCTTGCCTGAATGTTCGTAAGGCCTCAGCCAGTGCAGAACAGGTACTTAGTTAAACAGCTAGACCTCTGCCAAAGCCAGGTGTGAGCCGGAAACCGGGCAAGGGGAGAACTGCTTCGAGACCATCTCTTCTCTCCGGACTTAATTTTCTTTCATGGGCTAAGGAGTCCTAGGCTCATTCACGTAAAAGAATTCCAATCTTCAACTCTCTTCCACCCTCAAGGTTATTTCCCAGGACAGTAATTTTCAAACTGTGTTCCTTT